TTGGTGCCTCACGCTGGCTGCTAGCTGTCTGCTCTTTGTCGTGGACTTCTGAGAAACCGTTTGAGTGGTCTCACTGATCTGGGCTCTTTAGGCTGGCCCCTGTGGAGCATCTGAGGTTAATAGGCTCTTGGGGCTGAATTCCCATGAATCTTTGTGGAACGGGGGAGTGGCTGTCCAGAAGAAGAAAAATAAAATGACAGTGATGTGTAGCTGCCACATTGTGGAGTCTACAGGCCAGGGCCAACATTTTAGGTGGTAATAGCTAGATTGACAACTCCCTGGCCTGTGATCAGTTCATTCATCTACAATTCCTACTAGGCTTATTTGTCATTTTAAAATGTGGAGGCAAAGAGATGACTGAGGCCGTGTCTGTGGAAGCTATTTCTAATATCCCCCACTATCTAGTGCAGGTGTCCTCCAACTACAGCCCGTGGGCCACCTGCGACCCGCAGAGGACATTTATCCCGCCCCCTGCGTGTTTTTGCCACCACAGAGGACATTTATCCGGCCCCCTGGGTATTTTTGCCGCTGCCTGTCCTGCCTAGCAGCCGACTCGTCCCGGGCCCACAGTGCGCATGTGTGGAATGTGCGGCCGCACTCTCCAACGGCCCTCCAACGGTCTGCGGGACGGTGAACTGGCCCCCTGTTTAAAAGTTTGAGGACCCCTGCTCTAGCGCTTCTCTAATTTGGGTTCACCGAGCGTTGCAATTTCCCATGTCAGTGGTTCCAGTCATTGTGGAGGAGCAGAGGTGACCTGGCAGGAGCACGTCAACACCAGCGCTGGGTCCCTAGGCCCTGACTTCCCTGCAGACCCAACAGACTCCATGGTAAGAGGGGACATTCCCCCCCCCCCCGGGTCTCAGAGTGAGGATGGCACGGAGCAGACCCTCCCCACCCTGAGCTTTGGGGGTGGTTTGTGAGCTATCCTGATGCATGCAATACCATATTAACTCGTTCTTGGAACCTGTTACTGTCTTTGCCAATAGACTAAAATATCAAAACAGAGAAAAAGCAAAAGACATGAATGAATGCCTAACACTGAATGTGCTCGCTGCTGGAGACGGAGGAGGGGTGCCGCTTTCCCTGTCTCCATGGTCACGTGGCCTCCTTCTCTGTTCTGCTTGTGTCTCGAGTCTCCCTTTGCCTTTCTCTTAAAAGAACACCTGGCGTTGAATTTAGGGCCTACCTGGATAATCCAGTATGATCTCTGCTCAAGATCCTGACCTCAATTAACATCTGCAAAGGTCCTTTTTCCAAGTAAGGTCATATTCACAGGCTCGAGTGGACATATCTTTTGGGGACCACCATCGAACCCACTACATGAGCACTCTCCCAGTGCCAGCTCCGAGGCCAGGCAGCGTATGTCCATGTTTTACCCGACTTGTTCTCTCATTCAGTCTCTGAAGGAGGTATTATTGTGCCCATTTTAAAGACAGTGAAACTGAGTTTCGGGGGAGAGCACGATCTTGTCCTAGGTCACACAATGGTGGGAGCCAGGAGTTACACCTAGGTCTTATTCCGAAATCTGTGGGATTTCATATATTTGTATACATATTTTCGAAAGAGTGTTATTTTCTTCAAACCACTATTGCTTGAAAGATTTCTGGAACTCCTCTGTTTCTGGACTACTTCATAAGCCATGCAAGAAAATCCTGCCTGCTTGCATTATTATCCTCCCAATTTGAGTGTATGTGGTTTCAGGCAGCTTTATTTTCATATGATGTAGCTCCCAGATTAAATTCAGCTTACAATGAACAGGCAGCAGCATCTGATGAATCGTAGCCCGTGGCTTCCTCAAAGCACTCATTACTCCAGAGCAAATGAACCTGTTTAAACCCGGCCAAAGGCTTTGATATCCGTTGGAGAGGCCTAGGTAGAGACAAGACAATGTGAAATGCCCCAGTACAAGGTGGGTGGTCACACTGGTGTAACCCCTCTGCTGTGTCCCATGATGTCTGGAATGCATGTAGCTGTGGCCCATTAACCAAACATAACACAGGTGGAGTATGTGTGTGGGGGGGTTTGTGTGTGCAAATGTCTTTCCTTTCTCCGTGAATTCAGTCTGAGTCATCATACACTATTGGTTGTGTCCCCAACAGCCATCTCCTGCTGTCCCTTTTGCCGGATGTGCCTCCTTCTCTGCTTTTTTTTTTTTTTTTTTCCCCGCTAGAGGCCATGTGACACCTGGAGCTGCAGGGCCAGCTCATACTGGGGAGAAACAACTGCTGACCTGGAGATTCAGAACAGAATGGTGAAAACCAGCTGCGATCTAACCAGCTGTGCCTAGAATGTCCTACCTCTGGACTCACTGGGAGATAATCGATGCCTTTACTGAATCTCGTGTTACCTACTTCAATAGCATCCTGTAGGATAATAGGAATTATGACAACAATAAAGTAACATTTGTTGAGTACATCGTACATACTAGAAACTCTTCTTAAATTACCTCATTTAATTTTCACAGCAATGCTATGACATAGGTATTGTTTTTTTTTTTTTTTTTTTTTGAGACAGAGTATCACTCTGTTGCCCAGGCTAGAGTGAGTGCCGTGGCGTCAGCCTAGCTCACAGCAACCTCAAACTCCTGGGCTCAAGCAATCCTGCTGCCTCAGCCTCCTGAGTAGCTGGGACTACAGGCATGCGCCACCATGCCCGGCTAATTGTTTCTATATATATGTTAGTTGGCCAATTAATTTCTTTCTATTTTATAGTAGAGATGGGGTCTCACTCTTGCTCAGGCTGCTTTCGAACTCCTGACCTGGAGCAATCCACCCGCCTCGGCCCCCCAGAGTGCTAGGATTACAGGCGTGAGCCACCGCGCCCGGCCAGGTATTGTTATTATTTCCATTTTACAGACGAGGAAACCAAGGGGCAGAGAGGTTAAGCAACGCACCCAAGGGCACACAGTAAGTAGAATGGAGGCAGGATTTGAACTCAGAGCCGTGTGCTTACCCACTGCACCAGGGTACCTCTCAGTTGACTGGACATCTGGGAATTTCTTCTCTTTCCCCTCTCCTCCTGCCACTTTCTGCTCCTCCCACCCCCATCTCAGGTCCCCGCTGTAGCCTGGGGACCTGCCACGTGGCCAAGGAGATCTTCATTCCTTTTCAGAGCGTTCAGCCTGTCAAGCCACTTTCCTTGGTAAAGGGTGAGAGAGCAGATAGCCCCATTCCACCACCTGCCTTGTTAGTTCTGCCCAAAACCGACAGTGTAATGCCACTGAGTAAGTGACCCCAGCCCTTAGACCCTTGGGCACAGAGCAGATGTTTTCTCGTTGGAAGGAGTGCGTCTGAGTGGAAAGAGCACAGGATTGAGAAAGATCCTGACGCTCTGATCATCTAGTCATGTCTGCAGAGGGCTCGGGCAGGGCAAGAGGTAGCGTGTGTGCTGTTTGCCATTCCTGCCATGTGAATAATGAGACATTAAACCCAACAGAGAAGGGACCTTTGTCACTAGCTTGGGTGGCAGTGGAGGGTTCTACCTTAAGTCAACTTAGCCTTGGATGTCACCCCATGGGGTGACAAAGAGAATGTGTGATAAAAATGGCAAGGAGGAAGCACCTGTGTGCGGTGGTTTTGCACACCTCTTGGCGTCCTGACTCCATTCAGCTGGTGGAGAAGCCCTGTGGCCACAAGTGAAGGGCAAGCCTTAGCTCAAATTAAATGGCTGCAGTTTTGTGATTAGTTGATTTTGATTTAATGCAATTTTACTATCTATTGTCTATCTCTATAAATGTTATTTTTTTTTAGCCACTGCCCTCCTGCCATGTCCCCCAGGGCCACAGGGACTCTTCATTCCCACGTGCCTTCCATGGGGTGCGTTTGTGTTTATCCATCCACCTCTTTTTGGCAGTGAGGGGGCAGGTGAAATCACTCGACCAGGCTACTGCCTTGGGCGCCTGGGTCGGGGCCGAGGATTCCGCATGGGAGGAGGGTGTGGAGCGGGAGCACACCCTAAAACCGAAAGACAAATGGGGGAAAAGCTGCATGCACGGCAGGGAGGGTGCTGGGGCCCTACCCCAAGGTGGATGGTTCAGAACCATCCTCTGCTGGGCCTGGGCCCTTCTCTCCACGCTTCCGTGTTTGAACCCTGGTCTGTTTAGCGACCAGGCCACAGGAAAACAAGCAAGATGCCAGCTTCCATGACAGTGGCGGTGATCCTCAAAAGGTGTGTGTATGTGTGTGTGTGTGTGTGTTTGTGAGGTTCCTGAGTTGGGGAAAGTAGCGGACTGATATCTTGCCCCAGACAGACCGAGTTTCTCAGACATACACTTCCCCCCACGCCCCCTGTGCAGTTTGGAAGCTGCAGCCCTGTAAATGTTGTTTCTTTCTTTCTTTCTTTCTTTCTTTTTTTTTTTTTGAGACAGGGTCTTGCTTTGTTGCTCAGGCTAGAGTGAGAGCCGTGGCGTCAGCCTAACTCATAGCAACCTCAGACTCCTGGGCTCAAGCGATCCTGCTGCCTCAGCCTCCTGAGTAGCTGGGACTACAGGCATGCGCCACCATGCTGGGCTAATTTTTTCTATATATATTAGTTGGCCAATTAATTTCTTTCTATTTATAGTAGAGACGGGGTCTTGCTCTTGCTCAGGCTGGTTTTGAACTCCTGACCTGGAGCAATCCGCCCGCCTCGGCCTCCCAGAGAGCTAGGATTACAGCGTGAGCCACCGCGCCCGGCCTAAATGTTGTTTCTTAACGAAAGCATTCTGGAGTAGACGCTCAGGAGAAAATAGATATCGGTAGCTTGGCCCAGTTGTTGGAGTCTGTCTTCTCTCCGACTCCTGCCTGTGTGGTGATGGTTCTCAGTTCTCAGCGCCTTCCTTGAAACTGTCTTTGTTTTACTTGCCGTGGTCATTGGCAGTTACCGGTCCCTTTGTTCACCGGGAACCCGAGACTCTCGGCTGTGGTCACCCTGTGGGAACAGCTTCATGAGACGCTAGTCTGGAGGGACTCCAAGGACGTGGCGCACTTCGGTGTTCTGGAATGTACTTCTGGATGGGGTGGGGGGGCTGGGGTTGCCGTCGGCCACTGAGGGGTTGGTGGGTTTCCCTAGCCTCTAAAAATTATGCGCGTAATGAGTTAAAGTGGTTCCCATTTTGCTGCCGTCAGGGTTCAGGGGACTTGGCAAAGAAGCCCCAGCACTGCCCCCCGCCTTCCCCCTGGTGTGTCCAGCCCCAGCCTTCTGTCTGTCTTTCTGTTTCCTTCTTTGGCTCCCTTTCCCCTCCAAGGAGCTTGGCAAGATTATGCCACAACTGATACTTTTCTTCCCAGCCTTTCTCTGTGGTGTCCTACTTGTGCTCTGTGGAAACTCTCCAAGAATCTTCTATGGGGAGTTCTCCATTTCTGAGCACGTCCCGTGAGACCGGCCTGCTCGGACAATTCATATCCATGTTAACACTCATTTGATTTCTCTCCATAAATCTGTGCTATAATATTTTAAAGATGAGGGAAACTGAGGCTCAGGGAGATTGAGTAACTTGGCTGGTTTCCTCTGTGGTGAGGACCTGGATTCAGCTCAGATCTGAAGTCTGTTCTGCAGCCTGTCCTCCCCCTGGCTGCCTCCCACCGGGCCCGGGACCCCTGTTTCCTCCTCCTGCGGCACCTGCTCTCCCGGGGCTCTGTCTTCCCCACCATTGTCTTGTGTTCTCCTTGACTTTCTATCCCATTATTTCCCCAGTGGCAGAGTGCTGCCTTTTAAAAATATAAATGCAATCACGGTCCCCCCTTGGCATAAAATTATTTATGGGTCCCTATTGCTTTCTTGACACAACCCAACACGGTCTCAGGCCTGGCCTCACTGCGGCCTCTGCCCTCCTCACCCCCAGCTGTCACCTCTCCTTGTGCTCACAGCGTAGCTGGCAGCTCTTAGAATGTCCTCAATTCTATTTTACCTTCACTCCTTTGCCTAGAACTCTCTCCCCTGCTTCAAATGAGCACGTTTCTGCCCAATGGAATATTCAGCTACAGAGTTGCTGCTCCAGAAGCCATTGTCATTGCAGGTGCCCAGCTGCCCTGGGCCATGCCGCGTGGAACCCCCTGGCAGCAGGATGGCCAGGCAGCCCCGGCTACACTCTGTAGAGGCCCCTCGTCCAGCCGGGCCCCTGCCCACCTACTGCCTGCACGCCTCACCTAGACTACAACTCAGGTGTCAGACCCAAGAACTATCTGCCCAGATGGCCCCGGCCTGATGCCAGGGCCTGAGAGGTCAGGCTGTGCACTCTGAGGTCAGAGGGACAGCCAATGGCAGGTCACATTAAGGAGAGAGATGCTTTGTGTGAACAGAGCTTGGACTTACAGACTAGGTTGGACATAGACATGTGCATTAGGCCTCCTGTTATGTCCCATGAAGCCAGGGTGGGAACAGAAAGGGTCAAGCTGGGACTGGGAGCACCCCAAATATTACACATGGCCTGTGTCTACCGCCATGCTGCTTTTTATTTTTCTCAGGAAGGAGATGCCAGCACTTGAGGCGGAGCACTTTATTACAAGCAACACAGGAAGAATGCTGGAGGTCAGACCAGAGATGAGCAGGTAAGGCCAGGAAGTTTGATTTTGGTGGAGAAGGAGTTGAGTCTGGATTGGAAGGCCAGTCCTGGGTGGGGCTGGTCAGAATGCAGGGTCCAAAGACAGTGCCTTGAAAAGAGACTTTTAAGTGGGGGTTCAGAAGGTTGTAGCGAGGGTCAGATCCTTGCCAGGGCCCTTGCTGAGGGCTCTGCCATGGAAAATCACCTCCTCGACTGTCTCTGCTCACTTCCTGTGCCTGACCCCCACTGCTAAGCTTTGAGAGGAACATGCCAAGCTGGGATTTTCAAGAGTAAGGCCAACAGGAGCCTGGGCGTGCACCATAGAAAGAGTTAGAGATATTTGCTTGGAAGGGAAGACTGGGGGGGGGATGTGCAAGGTAATTATCTTCAAGTCCATGTTATGTATAATTCATATATTGAAATGCTATGTAAATAACTGGTCAAGGAGCCCACAGTGCACTGTGAATAGAACCAAATAAGGTGAAGAACCAAACAAAGCTTATGTGTTCTCATATTTTGCTTAAAAATGTTAACATAGATAACATTTTGTGCGTCTGTATACATTTATCTACCTACCTTCCTATCTATATAAATGCACTGAATATAATGTTTCGGAAGTAGAACAGTTTACAAAACTTAGTTTTCCAGTTTACAAAAATGGATTTTCTGTAATCTCTACATCCAAACTCCACTTAGAACAGGGTCCCCATTTTCTCTTTTCCTTTTTCTTTTGGCACATGGCACTTATTTTATTTCTGGCTGAAACTTTGATTTTTTGGAAGAAAAGGTTGGTTGATTGGTTCTCACCTTGACACTCTCTCTCCCCGAGGTGGCACCTGGCTGCAGTGAACTGTGTGCAGGAGGCTGTTTCTGATTAAGGAGTTTCTCTCCCGGCTTGGAACTGGGTCTCCTGGCGCTGGTCCGGGCAGGGGAGGCTCTCACTGTCTTCACCTGGACGGGCCTGAGACTGTGTGTACCTGCATGGTGGTCTCTGCTGGGTGGAACACACAGCTTTTCTTGGGCCACGTTGGCTTCACATTGGTTTCTTGTTGCAGATGCCTCTCAGAGGTGCGGCCTCAGCCCCTTTTTGCCTCTGACAGCACTGAATGTGGCACTCCTAGCTGCTCTTGTGACTTAGCTAATCATTGGCCCCCTGGGGTGATCTAGCGAAGAGGGGTCCTTTTCCGTGGCCCTGGAGCTCAGGGAACTCATGGTTATCGATGTGCTAGGGTAGTCAACCCTCTCGTACTTACTGGTGGGGGACACACTTCGGTGAGACTTCTGCCTTCCAAAATCTGAAATCAAGGTGAAGGCACAAGTTCCCTACGTTCAGAGTCACCTCTGCTCTCAAAGGGGGTCTTCTGACCCATCAGTCCAGTGCATGGTCTTACCTGTCTCTTCCCAAACAATAATTCCCTATCCTGGCCACCGCTACCATCACCGTGTATACAGTATCACCACGTATGAGTTGATCACAACATAACTCGAGCAGTGTAGGTCGTTTCACAAATAGTGCTCTCGTAGATGTCTCCTGAGGCCCAAATGCAAGAGCTTCTCCAGGGTTGTCATATAATAAAGAGTTTGTCTGGTCTTTGTTCCTGGTTCCTGGCACAGAGCTTCAAACACCTTTGGAAGTTCCTGAGTGATGAGTGTCTTTGTTATGCTAATGAGAGAATAGGTGGATTCTGACACAGCTCCAGGTGGGGGCTGGTCAACAAACAGGCTGATCGCTAGAGGGATGGCAGATGCCTGACCTCTCGGGAGAGGTGGGGGGACTGGAGATCAGGTTCAATCACCTTGCCAGTGATGCGGTCAATGCTGCCTATGCAATGAAACCCCAGTAAAAACTCAGGACACTGAAGGTCAGTTGAGCCTCCTGGCAGGTGAACACACTGATGTGCTGGGAGGGTGATGTGGCCTGCCGTGCAGGGAGAGGGGACAGGATCTCTGCGTCTGGGATAGGTTCTCAGCCCCTCCCTAGTATATCCTTTGTAAAAAAAAAACCATAATTATAAGCATAGCACTTTCAGTGAATTCTGTAAGTCATTTTAGCAAATTATGAAACCTGAGGGGGCCCGTTGGGAACTCCCGAATGTATAGTTAGTTAATTAGAAGTGCATGTGGCATCTGAGAGGACAGCAGCCCTGGGGAGGACTTTGCCCTTGGCCCCTGGGTGGTGGTGTCAGACCCATATTGCGGCACTCCCAGGTGGGAGTGAAAAGGCCCAAGGGCATGCACCTAGGAGTGGAATTGCCGCAAAGTTGTTTTCCAAAGTGTCTGACCAATTCATACCCCCAGCAGTGTGGCCTAAGTGTTCAGCTGGTCGCTCCTGACTCTTGACAAAGGACGGGCTTTCTAATTTATGCCAATCTGGTGGCTGTCATTGCTGTCTCACTGTGGTTTTACCTTTAATTTCTCTTTTTGCCAAAGACATTAAACATCTTTTCATATGTTTATTGACCATTCAGGTTTCCTTTTCTACAAAGTGTATCTGTTTTGCTTATTTTTTGTATTGGGTTGTCTTTTTCTTAACGATTACGTGTGTATGGTATCACTTTCTGTCTTGACTTTTCACTTGCATTTTTATGTCTTTTGAAGAGATAGTATTTATCAATTTTTTTCTTTGTGGTTTATGATTTCTAGGTTTTGAATAAGAAATAGATCCTTACCCTCAAAGTTTTAAAAATCTTTTTCTGTATTTTGTTCTTAATTGAAAAATTTGCTTTTCATACTTAAGTGTTTAATCTACCTGGAATTTATTTTGCATGTGATGTAAAGTAAGGGCCCAATTTCATTTGTCTGTACATAAATTACTAGTTACCCCAACACTACTTATTGATTGGTTCTCCTTTGCTACTGAAATACTCGGTCTGTTATAAATCAGTTTTCTGTATTGGAGAAGGTTCATTTCTGGCTCTCCATTCCTTTCGCTGGTCTATGTGTAAATTTTGTGCTAATACCATACTGCCCTCATAGTTCTTTTTGGCACCTGTTAAGGCAAATTACTCCAACTTATTCTAGTGTGTTGCTTTATTCTTGATTCTTTGTCCTTCCATATGTACATATTGGAATCAGTTTGGTAAATTCTATTAAAATAAAACCTTTTGGAATTTTGATTAGAATTTGATTAAATATGAAGGTAAATTTAGGGATAATTGGGATAATTGATGATTATATGATAGTCTCTCAATTCATGAATATGGTATACCTTTTAATCTACTTAGGTATTCTTTAATAATTTCCAATATAGGTCTTGAAAAATTTTTATTAAATTTATTCTTACTCTATATTGATATATGTTGTTGAAAATTATGTGCTGTTATAAACCATATCATTCTATCAGTAATGGACATCCAGAAAGCCCCTTTGCCTCACAAATAAACTACAGTAAACATTTCTCTGTGTGTGTGTGTATGTACATATATATATACACATATACATACATATATATATACACACACACACATATATACATATATATCTCTCCTTCTAGATCTATATAAGAGTATATTGGGGATCTACCCTGGGAGTGGAATTGTGGGCTCACGGGGAAGGCATATTCCTAATTTGCTGACGTAGTCGCCACTGTACTTCAGAACTGTTCTCACCAGCAGTACATGGGGTTTCTGGGTCTCTACTTTTCCTCTAACACTTGGCAGTTGGCAGCTCGACTGAATTTTTGCCAATCTAATAGGCAAAGGGTATTAGAAAGGATATCCCAATGTTATGTTAACTTGCGTTTCTTGATTGCCTAATGAGGGCTTGAACATCTCTTCACGATGCTTGTTAGTTTTTTGGTTTTCTCTTGTGTAAAAGGCTTTTTTATATTCTTTTGCTAATTTGTTATTACTTTTGTTTTCTTTTGCATTGCAGAAATTTCTTGTATATTCTAGATATTATTCCTTTGTGATTTTATCATTGGCAAATATTCTATCTCCTGTTTTTTTATTTAAGTTTGTCTGAGATGTCCTACATCTAAACAAGAAATCCTCATTTGATGTAATCAATTTATCCTTTTTTGCTTTATAATTTATGTTTTTAAAAAATTTTTTAAAGATCCTTTCTTTCCCTAATAAGATCCCCAAAATGCTCATTTGCATTTGGGGCATTATTTAATATTCTATAACATTTCATATTGTAGGTCTTTGATCCATCAGAGTGCACTTTTGCATGTAGTAATAGGCTTAATTCAGTATCAACTACCCATTCTTTCCCAATCGACTCATGGTGCACCTTTGTCACGTATTCATTTCTATATACACACATATGTGCATGTGCACGTATACATAGGTTGCTCAACCTAAGGTTTTTACTGTGAGCCCTCCATTCTCTCCATTAGTCTACTTATCCATTCTTTCTCCATACAAAAATGTGTTATTAATATGGTTGCATGGCTCTGTAGGCTGTCTTACTGTTAGGAAAGATCCTTTCTTTACTTTTAAAGGGTCTTTTGTATGGACGTGTGTTTTATTTCTTTTGAATAAAATCTAGGAGTAGGAGAGTAGATTTCTGGTCATATGGCAAATGTATGTTTAACTTTATAAAAAGTGTCAGAACTTTTCCCAGACTCGCCATACCATTTTGCATACCCACCAGCAATGCGGGAGAGCTTCTGTTGCTCCATATCTTTGCGACTTGATATTGTCAGTCTTTCTAAGTTTAGCTATTGTGTGGGTTGTGTAGTGTTTCTGACATGTATTTTCAATTTTACTTATTATATTTTTTATTCCTTAGAAAATTTTCTATTGATGCTTTAAAAAAATCTGCTTAATTATTTTTTGATATACTTGCTTCTTACTTATCTCTTTAATTTTTCTCACTTTAGATTTTATTTAATAGGATTTATTTTTTTAGTGCAGTTTTAAGTTCACAGCAAAGTTTAAAGAGCCTATTGCCCCTGCCCTCCAATATGCATATTATCCTCACCACTATCAACATTCCTCCCCAGAGCAGTGCATTTGTTACAACCCATAAACCCATAAACTGGCAAATCATTATCACCCAAAC